TCCAACCCCGGAATTTGCTTAAAATCGGCTTTTATATACGTTTCGTCGTCCATCACACAGCAGCCATATTTTGTCAGCATCTTCTCCTAGAGCTTCCGTGCCCAAGTTTTAGCCGTCGATTGTTGCCGCTCATCGCGGTTTGGGAAGTTCTGTACCTTGTATGTATGTAGTCCAGCTCTCTTCTTTGCATTCTGGACGTAGCTCTGCGACATGCCGATCTTTTTAGCCAAATCACGGCTTGAGACGTTGGGATTTGCTTTAATCATCCGCTTCACCTTTCCCTCCGTCTTTTTGTTCTCTGGTCCCGGTTTTCTTCCAGCTCCTTTGCCGTGGTCCAACGTCAACCGCTCCTGGAACCGCTTCAACGCTCTGGAGACGGTTGAATGGTGAATGTTCAACATTTTTCCCAACTGCCGGTGCGACAGGTCAGGAAATTCCAGGTGTTTGGAAAGAATTTGTTCTCTCAACTCGCGTTGGTTCACCTCCATTTTCGTTGAATCGAAAAACACGACTTCGAGTTTGACAGCATGTACACAATACACATCAATGAGAAAGTGTGCAAAATTTGGTTGATTTTTACCCAATGGTAAAAAAGTTATGCCCTGTTGAATGTGTCGCAATAATTTCGTGTTCGCCCTTTATAATACAGTTTTGGCGCCAGCGTTATTAAATGGAACTAAGGTAGCGGTATTAACAAAGAAAAACAAGGTGGTACTAGCAAACTACGAAAAAAATATTCTATGGAACATTTTTAATAGCTGTAAAAAACCAAGTAATATGAAATTTGATGCAAGAAAAATTTTATCAAGGAAAACAATAAATAGATGAGTTAGGGTAGGCAGAATAAGTTATTTTGGACATATCAGAAGAAGAGAGATGAAGCATCCACTGCAATTAGCGTATAGATTCAAATTCAACAAGAAAAAAGAGGGTAGACCAAGGAGGAAATCATTAAATCAGGACTTTGATATAAATGAAGAACTTGATATAGAAGAATGGAAAGAAATAGCTAAGGACAAAGAAAAATTAAAAAAGAAAGTGGAAGAAATTTATGAGAATGAGGATAGCGAAATTTCAGATGGTGTATCGACAGAGGAAGAAGATCAAGGAAAAGGAAGTTATAAACACTGGAAGAAAAAAGGATAAGACAGAGAATGTGTAACAAGGACCATTGCAAAAAAAAACAAAAAATATAAAAAATACAAAAAAAAACAAATTAAACTAATCCTGGTTGTAAATCTTTTCCATTTGTATGCATTCCGAGTGACGAGCGAACATGTTGAAGAAAATGGCTTTATCACAGAGCCCCGTCTCGGAACGAGTGTATTGTTGAACGACATGGTCTACGATTCAAGATTGGTTTCTGTAATGAAAAGTATCACGATCTTCATCGAAATGTAAGTATTATTGACAATAATCATAACAATCAACTCGTATATATAAAGGCGCCGGTGGTATAGTGGTAAACGTGATTACCTCTCACCCCAGCAGGCCTGGGTTCAATCCCAGTCGGCGCCGCCGGGATGTTCTGAGGCATAACATCTCTGATCACGCCTTCCTTCGGATGGGAAGTAAAGCCGTTGGTCCCCGGTTCATGAGTTGATGGGTCGATAGGTAGGGTCCAGGTGTGGGAGCTGCCTTCCTGGCACGTCGGTAGCATTGGTGCTCAACACGGAAAACAAGATCGACGGAAAAAACAAACCAAAGGAAAAAAAAAAGAAAACTCGTATATATATTGAAATACATAAATAAAAGGGAAGGGAAGGTCCAACAGAGCACCCGATTGAAGCGATTTGGACGGGGAGAGTGGGAATGCCAACTCCCTGTTGATAACATTTTGTGGATAAAGGGCGGGCTCTTCTCCCCACTCATTGGGGCATCTTCCTGTTTGGGGGCTTGTCTTTTTGGCCAATTGGCTGATCAAGTTGCTGGAAGGAGATTCTTTATTGTTCCGTAGATGCGTATAGGCGACTTTGCCTATCGATCTACCCAATCCGTTTTTGGCCCTTCATACAGCGACATGTTGAGGACAATCAGAGGTTATTAGCTTGATCAAGACAAACAGAGAAGAGAGCCCACTGCTGTCGGACTTAGTTTCCGTGCTACAATGGGTGGTAAACCACTATCATGCATCATGCAACAGCTTTTGTAAACAATGATTTCTCTCGATGATTTCTCGAAAGTCATGGCTGTCCCCGCCAAATCGACATAACCAGCGAGTAAGAGAAGACTTCCCCTACCCAATGGATGTGTTGGTTTGTGTAGGCCTGCTTTGAATTACTAGAAATTAACGAGAGAAGTCATTGTTTACAAAGGCTGTTACGCCCTAATTCCAGCTCTATCTAGAATTGTGGTAATTCCTCTCTTCTCAAAGAGAACGACTGTTCTATGAAGGAACATCCTAAGATATTTATATGTTCAAATTGTGGTGAAAACCACAAATCCAATTTTTGGGAATGTAAGACTCGCAAATCGATCATAATACCACAGACAAACAGACGTAACACTTTGAAAAACTTGTTCTTGAAAACATAGTATCTCAAAACATATAACCTCAGTAACGACATCTCTCTGGCTTCTCGCGGAAAACAAGCTTGCTCGCTAACTCGTAAACAATATTGCATAAAAGTTCTATAGAATGTATAGAAACGTCAAAGTAATCTGATGCCAGCGCCGCGGCGAGTAGTTCGCGGAACTGATAATATTCAAATCAACCGTTAAATGCATGAACGAAGATACATAATGAAGAGTTACGTCTGTTTGTCTGTGATAATACAGTCTTGTTCTAAGCGATAGGTAGGAAACGCTTAACGTTCCTGACCAGATACTAATTTCTCTGCTAACATTGGTCAGCGTGGAACAAATTATACATTCGTACCCGTAAGTCCAAACAGCTCACAAGCTTCAAATTCTTCATCTATACCTGTTGCCAACAATGTTCAGCAAATAAATGGAGCTACCTATGCTGCTATTGCAACTGGTAGAAATCGAGATCAAAATTCTAGCCAACATAATTCTAACGGAAATTTTGATGATATTGACTATGGTAGCATTACTGCCCCTAAAATGAAATTTTTACAGAAATCATTAATTGACACGATTACTGATATGCTGAAAACTAACTCCATGTTTGATGCTATTCAAACTGGAGTAAAATTTACTAATAACATAGTCATGACTTTGAAATGCAGTAATGGATTTTAAATCATTAAATATTTTCAATTGGAATGCTCGATCTCTTAAAGATCGCTCCTTAAACCTGACCATAAGGTTAAAAGGACGCACATTATTTCATTTAAACTCATTAGAATCATTCCAAGTGACGTGCCCGTGATTACTCTTTTTGTTTAAAAGTTATTATAAACTTCCTAATATGGCAATGTTATGTGATCCAATAGAAAGTTGGTATGATTTACTTTGTTTTCCAACCCATAGTTATGAATATAGTCACTTGTAAATGTTACTAGAAGTAAAACTTGTGACGTGACAACGGTAAATACAAATGTTTCGACATTTCTTAGGTAATTTTAAACATGTTTTTCAAGCTTAATCTAAAGTTAACCTCAGTTTTAAGATAGCTTAATTAAATGGATCATTGATTTCTAATGGATTCCACTAAATATTATTGGAATAGTACTTAGGTGCAATGGAATCAAAATATTAATTGTTCTCCGTCATTTTTTGATTAATGTAAAGTTTCAAGTATGCAAATTTACTTTATTTTAGTAGAGCTACCGATGACAAATAAATTTATCTCAATTTCTGGCATAACCCCTCTACCACAACTATAGGGACACCATTATTGTTCGAACACCTACCCTACATACTTGGAAATTATTACCGTATTCGGTATTTTTTTTACTGAACATTCAACAGCTGCTCTGTAAACGCAATGACTACCGAATGATCGGTAAACAGATTTTTTGATTATCTGTCAAAATTACCGAACAATGCGGTGATTTTCTACAGAACAATTTGGTAGTTATTACCGAACTTCCGTGAAACGAGAACTTAAACTGTTTTCAATTCTACTACTTTTTTCAATAAATTTGTATTGAATTCTATTTTTTCAATAATAGGTATTTGATACTTTTTATTGAGAAAATTTTGCCAGAAGGTTCTGGTGCGATATTTAAAACGGAAAATGGCTGCATGAAAATATCGAGCATATGGGATAATTGTTTGAGCCCTCCATGAATGGTCATTTGTATTAGGATGTTAAAAATGTTTTTGGTCTATATAATAATAATTGTTATGTGAATTATTTGTTGCAAAATACTTCTGTTTATAATACTTTACCTTGTTCCATTCACCAGCACTTACATTTGGTGGTTATCCTCGTATCAAGGTTCACATATAAACAAAGTTTCTTCACGATTTGACAGTTTTTACGTAGAGAAGTTCGGTAATCCGGTTATGTTTTATGGTTGGTTCGATATTTTTTTTAACCGAATTCAGCGATTATCTCATTTTACAGTATAGAGTTCGTCATTTAAAAATCAGATCACCAGGTACTTCGGTAAAACTTTACCGAAAATTGGTATTTTTTATGTTTTACCGAAAAATCTGTAATAATTTTCGTTTATCGATTATTTCCGATAAAAAAATACCGAACATGCCAAACGTATCTGAGTGTGTAGCGAAAATAAAATTGAAACGACAATGGAGCACGATACTAATCATTTTTGGGGTATCTTGGAAAAAAACTGAAAGTCACATGGATATCAAGGGGGTCGAGTCTATGTCCACGCTAGTCCACGGAGGAGAAGGGAGAGTTAAAAATCATGCTTTTTTTTGTCTATATGTCATATGGAACGTAAACAAAAAATCTGGCCATTTCTACTAAAGTCCGCTCCAGAATAAATCATAGCAATACCTTTACTAGATGCTGCCGTTGGTTTACCTAAATCCGCGAGAAATCGACGTTTACATTTGGTGCATAGCACCTTTTTACATGCGCTTTAGAACTGTCATCACATAACTGACGTAAGACGGAATAATTACAATTGTCTTAAAGATTTTATTATGGATGGTAGTAAAACCTAATCATTACTTGGAATGTACAATCACGATGCTATCGTTGCGCTTTGAAGCACTCTTCTGTATATTTTAATTGATTATAAAGTATTTATAGCTAGCTTCACTTTCATAATTAATTCTATACTTTCTTAACTCTCAGTAGCTGAACAATAATAAGAAACACATCCAAGGGAGTTAGTTGAACCAGGCCTATATTTTGTTGTTGCTATTTTGTTGTTGCACTTCTCACTTGGTGGAAAACTTCCAAAGCTGCGATTCGAGCGCCGAGTTGCATCGCTCTGCAGTGATGCCTTTCTCTTTTACGTAACGCGAGTCTAAACAAACATTTATCTTGCTATGTTGGATCAGTCCGCCTTCTCTTTTGTACCACTGCTGATTCGCAGATTCATCGCAATACTTTAGCACCACCACGTTGTAACGCGATCGAATAGTAAAATTCAGCAGTGTTAAGCAAAGATCCAGATGTTTGATTTGTCCTTTTTTCGTGATGACCCAATCTTGATTACCTCCGCTATCGTGGCAGTGGTAGAGACCAGTGATGCCATCTACAAGATGACCCAAGGTGTCCATGCAGTAGGGTCCTTGTCGTAAGCTGCCTTTGGTTTGCTGTTCTGGTATGGTCAGCTGCGGGTATACGTTTTCCAAATACCATTCGAATGGTTTGCATTGAAGTCGCTTTTTCAATTCTAACCGTTCGTCAATATTTCCGAATGGAATATTCTTCACCAAAGGAACGGCTTCGTAGTAATACTGTTTGTAGTCATCCATCCATACCTCAGCGGCACGTCTAGTGTTTTTGGCGAAAATGTTGCCACTGCCACCGCCTGGAAACGTGTACGGATGTCTTTTCCGGAACACATGGCCGACCCTACTGCATGGAATAATCTCCAGACTACCACCGCATTGCCAGACACGGAAACTGATTTCCAAATTTTCGCCACCCCATATGTCCATTTGAGTATCATATTTTCCCAGCTTCTCAAAATATGGCTTATCTATCACAAATAAACCACCAGCTATCATTGGTGTTCTGATCGGTGTAGTTGGATCTTTCTGGCGCTCGTGTCTCTCTGAAATGCTCAAGTATTCCCATTTGAACACCAAATTCCAATCAAACCCACCCCGTAGATCTGCAGAAGCTCCTATATACTGGAAGGTATCCATACTAATAACATCGATCACAGGACATACTACACGAGTAGGATCTTCTTTAACTCTTATTAACAATGGTTCCAGCCAATCTACATTGCACTCACAATGGCTGTCTAAAAACGTTAGAACTGATGCAGTTGCTGCGTCGGCACCTCTAACACGCGAACGAACCAGACCTTCACGCTTTTCGTTTCTTATCACCTTAACCTTGTGGATTTTAGCCAGCTCCTGGCCATCCTCTGGAAAATCCGAATAATCATCTACTAGAATAATCTCATGTATCAAGTGTTCTGGAGATCGATTCAAGACACTGACTATCGTTCGCAGAAGCGTACTTCGTGCTTCGTTATGAAAGGTTATAATCACACTGGTGGGTGGAAGGTTACTTGGCCATTCCTTTCGGCACATGGGATTCCGGGTGTCGGGAAGTTCTCGATTGCTTTTCAAACTATCACTTGCTTGTTGATTGAAACGGTTCCGCAAATATGGATCTTCTCCTTGCCGTAGGTTGCCTTTCCGTATGTATTCCATTTCATCAAAATAGTCCCACGTATGCCGAGGCAAGGACATGTGTAACAATGCGTTGGATGTAACATTTTGTTTAGGTGAAGTGGATGGACCGTACTGCTGCTGCTGCCAGTCGGCGGACGACAACTGTTGTGTCAAAGAAGCCGTCCGATGTTCGCGCAGTCTCAGTGCACGGTTTCGACTCTTGTGGCTCCCTTCGAAATAGTACACTGCAATCAGAATCCATGTTACCGCTAATACCAAGAAAATCTTCAAATTTCTCCGCATGTTTTACACACACTGAGTGCTCTATGTGTAAACTAATGTAGTTTTTTTTTTTTGGAATATACTGATGATTTGGATGGTGACGTTACTCTTTTGACTAGATTTGTTAGCACACGTCAATGTGCTAAGGTATCTTCGCTAACTATATTATCTAACTAGGAACAACTAGCGCTGAACTCTTTGTGTACATCTGCATCCATTTCTGTTTTTCTCAAACGCGATACCCTGAAAGAAGAAGAAGGAAAGAGATTACACATAATAAATTTAAAATGTTTTGAATTGTAATTCACGGATGTGTATCACACCTTCGTATATTTTAACCTTCTTATTCCAGAGAAGGGGGTAGTATTTGGAAACTGCCCGAGTTTCGATCTGAGTTCCAGTTCGCGAGCGCGCGCGCGCGCCCTTTTGTATGTATGTGAGTTGAATAAATATTCTTACATTGGTTTAGGTGGCTACATTACAACCAATTTTTATTCTCTCAAACTCGGCATCAAGTGCAAGTATCAAGCGTTGCACATCGTAAAACAGGCATATTTGCTTTGATGTATCATCTAAATTTTCTTTACTTTACAAAAATCGATAATTGACGGTCGGGATTTTAATTGCATCAATAGCAATCACATGAGCTCTTAAAAACTCGATCATTGCTAGGCTTTGTAAGTTCGTAGAACTGGATCTTCTCCCGGAGGATGGATTGTTGAACCATAGTAAGAGTAGATTATCTAATTCATGTTTTATTTTCCATTGTTATTCAAAAACGGTGATATCAACAAAACAGCAGCAGTCACTCTCACGAGATGATAATGAACATCGTGGAACAATCCTCTTGGTTCTTAACTGCATGGATAACAATACTTTGAATAAGGGTGCATGATAAAAACACTTTTTATAACAAGGTGAATCTTTGCCAATGACGAAAACAAATTTAACGAGATAATATGTGTTTGTCAATCCATCCAGTGACAATGTCAAAAATATTATTGTCAATATCGTGTGGAAATCTTTCAATGACAATGACAGATTTAAGCACTGATTGAAGTTACGGGATGCTATCTAGGCATATACTCCTAACTAGAGCCAACATCATAAAACTCATGTTTGAAGCATCTGCCAGTCTCGTATTTCTACGACAGACTGAAGAGAAATGCATTTTCTCATTGGCGTAGAGTCTATGCCATATATAAATTAGAGACAGGGTGGTGAGGCTATCCTGGGTTTTAACGATAGGCGGTAGTAAAATCCAACGAAAATTTAATTGAGTGAAATTGTTCGAACCCACTTCTGCTTTGTCTAATGTTTGTGGTTTATTATATAGCTTATTATTACTTATTTTTTTTCTCTCGTGGGAATGCTCATTTAATCTGGCAAATTAACCATAACATATGCTGTGCCTCAAAAATCTCTAATCGTAGTATCGTGAAATTTGGCTATTTTGTGTCAATTTTAGAGGTCCAGCTTCCGGAATAAAAAAGATACTGTCGTGACTGGTTGGTTTTGTGGTCATGCGATTAGCGTTGTCACCAGACATGGAAAATCATTTACATTCATTTCGTGCATTCATTTACATTCATTTGCCTCTAACTTTTTTCTTCAACAGCATTCCGCAAAATAATGTGTAGAGCTTTTGTAGGTTTTGTTATTAGCTACAACTTTTGTTAACAATTAAAATCCGTATCTCTTATGCATGACGAAGCAGAGCGAACAGAAGCCACTACTGTTTTTCAATGAATGTATTTTACATTCACTGAAAAACAGTAACAAGTTCTGCCCGCTCTAGTTCGTGATGCATAAGAGATACAGATTTGAGTTATGAGCAAAACTCCTCACCCCAATGGGTCTAGGTTCAATCCCAGCCGAGTTCAGTGGGATTTTTCTGAGGCATTAAAAATCTCTGGTCACGTTTTCCCTCGGAAGGGAAGTAAAGCCGTTGTTCCCGGCCCATGTGTGTTTGAATGGGTGCGATATTCAACGCAGGTGTAGAAACTGCCTTCTTGCACATTCGATTGCCATCAATGGACGGCAATCGATGTCCGTCGGTGATTGGCACTAGATTGCGGAACAGAGACCGATGTTAAATATAGAAATGTTTGTAAAAATATCAACCTGCATTGACTGCGATATTATTTTTGCTGCTCCAATCAATAATCTACAATAATCAATAATATTAATAACGAAATTAATTGTTTAGAGTTTTAACTCCAAAATGAACAATTCTTCATTCAAATTTTTGAAAATGTGCGGCTATTGAATAAATCCTAAAATAAGGCTTCAATTTTTGAAATTAGAAAATCCGTTCCTTTATTATTCATAATTAGGTTTCAAGTCACTGGAGGAGCGGGGTACGCTCATTCTTGAAAGGTTCAGATACGCCTGTCTGAGATAAAATCACTAATGTTAGTCATTAAAAAACAATTTAGAAGTAAAAGTGCACCTGACCTCAGAAATCTTTATGTTTCAGAACTATAAAAGACAAGTGGCTTTCAACTGAAACTTATTTAAGTTAACTTATTCAGTTGATCTTTAACTGTTAAAAACCCATAAAATAGCAAACGTTGCAATTGAGTAAATTGAATATGAATTTGATAAAACAGCAAAAAAAGATTATCTTCCATTTAATTCCACTTAATTATTTTTGGTATCCATGACAGATACTTATTTCGACTACAATGTGCAGTCTTAATCAGTGTGACAGATACGCGTATTACGTCTACAATGTGCAGACTTCTTCAGTGTCTTGTACTAATACTCGACTGGTCGAGTATTCGTACTGGTCGAGTGTTAGTACAAGACACTGAAGAAGTCTGCACATTGTAGACGTAATACGCGTATCTGTCAAGGATAAGCAAATAAGGTAGTGGAATTTAATGGAAATGACTAATCCTTATCTCTCTCACTACACTTTTTTTGCTGTTTTATTTAAGTATTCTGCTAACAACCCAATTTCATTACTTCATCATATGAATTTGATTATTTCATTGTAGCATATTAAACTCACAATAGAATGGATCAAACCCCATATAAACTTCATAACTTGCATTAATCTTTGTCCTCTTTTCTCTCGAGAAAGATTGCCACGCAAATTGTACAGCTATATCGTGAGATATTATAAAACAAAAATATTTTAATTATTATTATTATGAAATCACCATCTCGTTTTACGATCTTATGTTCGTCGCGGGGGTCAACTTTAGATCGCGATTGGAGATGTTAATTTAAAGCAAACAATAGGTAGCCAACTGAACCGTCCTCCATTTAGTAGGCCTTATCAATCTTAACATCTTTGCTGGTATCCTTCAATTTAGTGGGAATTTTTATATTGGAACGAGTCATTAAGTGCACCCCCCAGTTTTTGCACGGTCGTTTCCGCGAGAGAAGAAGAACACGTCACAGACAAAAAGAAGCCAGTTGTCTCCTCTTCCTCTTAGCTCTTTCACGGTCCCTTTCATCCATCATCATCATCCTCCCGTAAGAAGGTGATTTTGTGCCTATGCTGCCCCCTCGCAAGAGTTGAAATTTTGCGCTTTTTTATCAAAACAATCAAACCAAAAATCAGAGATATCCCATTTTTTAATTACTCAATTAATAACTAATCGATTATTTTTTGTACACTGCGCTGTCATTTTTCCACCTATGAGAGTGCAGAACATGTTTGAAACGATGGGTGAAAATCCTCTGAAGAATTTATTATTATTCAAATAAAAATCTTGACATCCACCGTCAATGTGGAATATAAGTAAAACAGCAAAAAGGTTATCTTCCATTTAATTCCACTTAATTAATTTTGGTATCCATGACAGATACGTATTTCGACTACAATGTGCAGTCTTCATCAGTGTCATTCCCACTAAAGAACTATTCAAAATCTAACCCCCTTAAGTACTCATCCCCTAGGTATAAAAGTCAAGATCACAGGTATAAAAATGAAACTACAATGTGTTGAATCGGAACCTACCTAACTAATTAAAACCAAAGATTTAAGTAAACTAAAGGAGTAAAATCTATTCAACTCTCTAATAAGGAAAATCCCAAAGGCTTGGTAGCCATCATAATGAAGTAATGAAATTGGGTTGTTAGCGGAATGCTTCAATAAAACAGCAAAAAGGTTATCTTCCATTTAATTCCACTTAATTAATTTTGGTATCCATGACAGATACGTATTTCGACTACAATGTGCAGTCTTCATCAGTGTCATTCCCACTAAAGAACTATTCAAAATCTAACCCCCTTAAGTACTCATCCCCTAGGTATAAAAGTCAAGATCACAGGTATAAAAATGAAACTACAATGTGTTGAATCGGAACCTACCTAACTAATTAAAACCAAAGATTTAAGTAAACTAAAGGAGTAAAATCTATTCAACTCTCTAATAAGGAAATTTTTTACTCCTTTAGTCCATTTTCCGTTCATTACTTATAAGATTCTTTTTCAGTTTATGTATTATTATTCTTGTGTTAGAAAATATTCCAAACTAACTCTTCTTTGAAAATTGTGGTGGCCCTGTGGTTGGTTTAAGGCCCCACGGAAACCTGTAGCAGGTGACAATTGCATTTTACACCAAAACATGCCGTATGGCAGCTCTTTCTTCACGGTTTTCCATCAAAAGACTTTTTATAGACTTGAATTGGATCATTGACTAGATTGGATGCTCTCGGCACCACCGGGATGTCCCTGGGGTTACCTTTAGCAGGGGACAATTACATGTTTGCACCAAAATGTGCCGTGCAACAACTTTCTTCATGATTTTTCATCAAAAAGGTTTCTGTAGAACCATCGCTTTTGAGTATTGCCTTGCCTCTCGTCTACTAACCGAGAGCTTGAAAAATGAAGACAGTAATATTTCATAACCTACTGGATCAGAAGGTTTTGTTCATACGCATGGACGTCCATATGCAGTTTTTTTTACGTAGGACTACGTCTCTGATTTCTATATGGGGGTACACTTTGTGAAAACCAAAAATGGAGCATGTAACAAATTAAGAAAGATTTTGAACGTTAATAACTCAGCTGCCCCTTGGTCCAATTTCAATAATTTTATCAGCAATCGATCATAAATATGGCTATGCATCGATAACAATGCTTCCGAATGTTGATTTTCAACAAGAAACTATTGAAAAAGTGGTAAATGTCCAGCATTGTCCAAAAGCGTCGAATTAACTAACAAATCCACCAAGTACCTACATGCATATGCTGCTTCATATGTGCTGAAGGTGTTCCTGAAAAATGAGATCCGTGGTGCTGTCACCTACACTAAACACGTCAAGCGTAAGCGGCCATGGATGTCATCTACGTTTTGAAGTGACAGAGACGCACTCTGTTTGGTTTCGGAGGTTAAATCATCACCAGGGCCACCAAGCTTATTACAGTAAAGAGTAGCAATAGAACTCATCTGCCTGTTTTTCCACTTGGAAAAAAATCCGTTCCCGAAAACGGGAACGGAGCGTGAACTAAAAATCACGGCCAGCTATCCAGAACAAAATTTTCTGAAATATACACCGTGAACTATGGTTCACGAGCGGTTCACGAATATGGGAACTCTTTTTTTTTCCGTGCATATTCAGAACCAACGACCACACAAAATGCTCATATAATCAAACTGGAAGCGGGGTACACATTATTTGATCAACCTTGGTCAACTTTGAAACAGTAGGAGAGATTTGTGAAGCCGAGCCGAACGAGAGTGTCGATGAAGAGAAACGATCAATGTAGATAGGACCTATTGAAAAGTGACGCGAGATTTGTTTTCCGTACTGAGCACCAATGCTACCGACGCCAGGGAGGCAGCTCCCACACCTGGACCCTATCAATCGACCCATCAACTCAACCGGGCACCAACGGCTTTACTTCCCGAAGGAAGGCGTGATCAGAGATGTTATGCCTTAGATCACGCCGGTGG